AGTTAATTCTGAGGAATTCCAAAAAGTAGATATCCCAGGCCTTCCTTGCATGTACTCTAGGATCAATCTACCAGTAACTTCCTATCTCTAGCCCTCAGTTTCCACATGTATAAAATAAGGAAATTGAAATCAGTAATCTTTAAGACCGCTTATAAGCCCTAAAATTTCAAGACTTTGAAAGGAGATTTTAAGATCCTACCCAGCTTTAGAAGTTTGGAGGACCTTTGAAACTGATGCAAAATTTTGTGTGTGTCATGTGTATGTACAGATGTGCATTTTTTGGGGGAGAGGGTTCTTAATATCATCATTAGGTTCCAGGATGTTCCATGAATGCAAAAATATCAAGAAACAAATGGAAAATTAATCTTAGTAATTTAATTATAATAATCTAACAAGCATCTTATTGAATAGCTTCTACGTATTCCTATGAGCACATAGATGAATAAGATGCAGTTCATGCCTTTGAGGAATTGTTAGTCAACAAATCATCAATGTAAGTTGTATTGGTTCTCCTGGGATGTGTTGAATTGGGTCAAGGGTCCGAAATTCTGGGTTCTAATCCTAGTTCCTGTAATATTTGGCTGTGACTCTGACCCTTAGTTTGCTCAATCAAGAAATAGATTTAATAAAACATATTTTGCTCCCTTCTTAAGGTGGTTCATTCAATCTATAGGTTAGAGCCATGTTAGATACAAGGGATACAGCTGTGAATGAAACTGAGCCTGCCCCATGGAACATAGATCAGTTGGTAATCTATGGATTTGATTTTCCTGAGATAAATGTTACAGTGTGGGTGAGAAGTGAGAAATAGAAACTGTTATTCACCTCAAACAGGAGCCTGAATAAATGGCTTTATTTTCTCTCCTCTTCTTCCTTTTATATTAAATTGAACTCAGAAAATAAAAAAGCATCTATCTAGACCACCCATTTGTCCACTATGCTTCCTGAATACAGAGAGAGAACAGAGATGGGAACTGTGAGGTTTCTCTAAGGGACAGCCATATGTATTTTGCAAAGTATTCTCTGGGCTTTTGGAGATACTTTGGTTGGAGGATGCTGGAGGCAGCTGCTGGGAACTGAAAAGGATTGAGAGTATATAATGATGCTCCCAAAATGATCGGTTGAGCATAGGATAAATGGCATTGTTTCAAAACCACATAGAAATAACTATATTACTAAATACTTAACAGCCTTCTAAAATAATATAGGGGCATCTCTATAGGTCAGAAACAGAGAAAGAAAACAGTAAACCATCAGCAGTGTGTATATTAGGGACAGACACTTAAATGAATGTATTCAATAATCTATATGAGATAAAAGAATGAATAAAATTCATTGATTTTTGAACAAGGACAGTGATTATGAAGCAAGAACAAGCAGTTAATTTGTTATTTTAACAAGTGCAGCAATTCTGAAGATTATAGAAGAGTCAATCTGTAAACTCTAAGGTTAATTATAAAAAGATAAAGAGGTAGAAAAGATGAAAGTAAAGATAAGTAGAGGGGACAGAGCAAGAAGATACAACATACCTCCAATAGGGGTTTAAAAAAAGATAAAATAAGGTGCTGGAAAGATGACATGGGAAAATTTACTGCCTGAGAAATTCCCAGAACTGAAGGAAGACTTGAGCTCTCAGAACAAAAAAAAATCTACAAAATAGAATTAAAAAAAATGAAACCTGGGCACAATGTAGCACTGCTTCAGAATAAGCCCCGAAAGGGAAACCTAACAGCTACCATAAAGGAAAAGCAGATTACCTCCAAAGGGGTACAATCAGTGCCATCAACTTCTCAGGAGCCACATCAGATGCATGAAACAATGAAGAATCAGCCTCAAAGTGCTGAGGATATGTGTCTTTGAACCTGAAACTCCATATCTAGCCAAGTCTGTGTTTTAACAAGCCTTCTAGGAGATCCTGAGGCATGCAGAAGTTTGAGAACCACTAGGCTGCAGCATGCTCTCCACAGACATCTAACTGAATGACTCATTAGTAACTCCTTTGCTCCTGCAAATGCCTGGAACTTGGCTTGCCAAATTCTGCTCACTTTTGCCAACACCTGGAGTGGATGGTATAACAGGGATATATCTTAACCTAAATGAGTGAAATCACAAGGGGGTTGAGTTACAGACATTCATAAGGTAGGTTGGAGTGGGACAAGGAGGGGCTGAGATAAGAGGTGTCATTTGGGGATCCAGATGGCTTTCCAGCAGCCACCCACATTATACGGGATGTTGCTTACTTGGGAAATGGACTTGGTCCATGGGGAAGTGAGTCATCCTTGTCTTCCCTCAGCCTCAGTACTCTAGAAGTGGAGGCTCCTCTGGCTAAGCATGTGTCTGTGTTTAATGATTTCTTTGCACCAAGACAGAGTCTGAAAGAAAGTTTGCAATCAATGTATATGAAGGGCATGAGACCCACTTGCTTCATTTTCAAAAGGTGTATTTTCAGTCTCTCTGGGAGATGCCCTGAAGAAACTCTTTAGAGATCTTTCCTCCCAGCTAGTTCGGGTGTTTACTGTCTGTCTTTTCTAGCTCTGAGTCCAGTTTTCTGCTTCAAGGACTTTTGTCATTTTTACAGTGTTTATTTTTCCCCTTGGATAAAAGGGAAAAAAAATGGGACTTTCTATCAGTTAGCAGTGGAAAAGTGGTTTAAAGCTTTGCTTTTCAAATGTAGTGGTGATCAGACTTGTCTCATAGGGACCCAGAGCCCGGAACTAAAAGGAGTGGGTGGAAGATGGTCTGGAAGCCTGCAGTATCACTGTGTACTGTGCCTTGGGCTCAGCCCCAGGTTAGATCGTCTTATTCATCTGAGAAGGAAATGTGTTTTGGATGGAGGGATGAATGAATAAGTGTTTTTATTTTCTGGTTGATTTGGTTTCTGTTTCCTGGCACCTAAGGCAAAATGATCAATCCCTTGATAAATACGTTGAAATCTTTGTATAGCATCCCATAGCATACAGAGTGCTTCTATGCTCACTGTTTTTGACTGAGCCTCCCAGGGGCACTCTGAAACTTGGAGAAGTGTCACCCAGTTCCGCCTTTGGGACAAAGAAGCTGAGTCTTGGGAACACTTAAAACTATACATTCAGGAAGGTGCTGAATTGGGACCAAGAGTCTGTCTCTTTAGATTTTCTCCTTAGTTAGGCAGGTAATGGAGCAAATTCATCTACCTTCCATTCAGGGCAGGGGAAGGAGAGAGTTTACTAGAAAACTACAACCATGAGAGTGATAAGGTCCTTGCTGCTATGCAGAAAATGAATTATCTGGTCCCCGTGTGTCATTACCAACTGGTAACAACCTGGAGGCAAGGGGAATAAAAAATTTGTCATCTCAGTCTCCAACATTAATTCCTTGAAAGGGGTCTGAATACAATAGAGAAAATTGTATTTTCAGCCATGCTTGCTCAAAAAGTAATGCTATCTAAATCAAGGGCATAACATTAAATCACCATTACAATTAGATGAAAGAACCTGGAGAGGAAGAGGATAATGTGGTGTGGATTTGGGGAGAATCAAGATTAAACAGTCACTGTTGATTATGATAAAGAAGGAGAGAGTGGTGAAATAGACAGTTCCGGAAAATCGCGATGCTACTGTTGGAACCGAACTGTCGATTCCTTCCTGGGCAGGGGTCGCCGCGAAGGATCACCGACACGAGATTCACAGCAGAGAGTTATTTATTACTAGCGCGCTAGGGTCCCAAGTTCTAAGTTGGCCCTGGGACCCCGACTGCTTGTTACAGGCTGTTTATATAAGCAAATACAAGTTCAAACACAGCTTAGGGCGCGAAATTCAAACAAAGCTTTAGGCGCGTGGTAATTGGGTCTGTCTATGGCCTGAGCAAGTTGTCTTATGCTAATTGGTTAGAGCAGGACCTTATGAGGTTTTTTCTTGGAGTTGCTGATTCCGGGAACTTCGAGGCAGGGTGGGACCCCCGGAATTGGCAGGGTGGGACCCCATGAGGTTGTTTCCCGGAATTGGCAGGGTGGGACCCTATCAGGGTGGGACCTTATTGAGGCAGGGTGGGACCCTATCCAGAGCCACCTGGTGTTAATTTTTTCTATATGAGGCCTGTTTTCTAAATTTTATGAGGCCTAGTTTCATTCCCTCCTCTTTTTGTGTCAGAGGCTCAATCTTGAGCCTCTTTTTTAGTCCTGAGGGTCTGGTATAGTTGGGTCAGAACCATAGCATGTAATCTATTTTTAATAAGGGTGAGTAAGTGGTTGAGTATGCATGGCCTGAAAGTCAGGATGAGCGTGAGCAGGATGAGGGGTCTTAAGATGGTGGAGATTAGGGTGCTAAGCCAAGGGGATTGGTTGTACTAATTTTTAAACTAACTTTGTTGAGATTTTTTCTCTTTTAGTTTTGCCATAGAATCTTTAACTATTTTTGAATGATCTGCATAAAAACAACATTGCTCTTTTAGGGCTGCACAGAGCCCGCCCTTTTTAGAAAGACAATTTCTAGTCCTTGTCGGTTTTGTAATATAATTTTAGACAGAGAAGTCAAGGACTTTTCAAGTTTTGTGATAGATTGTTCTATGGCTTTAAGGTTTTTATCTATGGCTACTTTAAGTTGTTGCAGATGATGGTTACTATGCACTAGGGCTGCTGTCCTGGTCTTAACTCTAGCCGCTACCTTAATTTTTAACATGTCGGCGAGGGTGAGGGAGATTAAGGGCAGGGAAGTGCTTTGAGGAGTTTTTAGTTGGGGCTTCTCCGATATGGAAACCGGGGGCTTCTTAGCTTCTAATAAAACCTGGTCTGGCCTTACTGCAACAGGGGCAGTGTCTGGATTGACTAATAGTCTGATTTGGAGGGGAATTTTAGGCGGGTTGTGCTGGTATAAATAGAGACTTTATATTAATTTTGTTGTTATCTATCTGTTATCAGATTTTGCCGCATCTTTAAACTTGATGTGAACCAGGTTGCAATTTTCTGAATATCGGGTTGTGGTACAGGGCTGGACAAAGGGCATAGTTATATACTAAGGTTTTGTGGCTTATTTTTACTTTTTATTATTAGTAGTTACACAGGACCAGTTTTTGCAATACAAGTGAGTCAGATTTCTACAAGTTTTTTATTGGTTCTGTCTTGTGTCCGGGACAGGCATAAAACCTGTTCCGGCTGATGGACATTTTTCTAGCCTGTCTTTTCTATTTTTGTCTATCTTGAGGAGTTCTTAATAGGACTCCTGTGGGACTAGTAAACCGGGGGCCTGTGTCTTTTATTTTTTTTTTGCTATATATATATATTTTTTTTAGGTTGAAATAGAGGTCTGGAAACCAAGTCTTTATAGGAGCATTCTCGGAGGTCTTATTTAAGACCTCTTGATTATTAAAATTAATTATCTGTCAGGTCAGGCTAAATGGCCGGTGGGGGTTAGCGTCAAAAACTACACTAGAGACGGCGCAGGGAAGAAGGGTAAACAATAAGTAAGGAGTTAGATACGAGAGAGTCTTATCTTGAGCGGGTCCGCGGAGCGTTGGAGTTTTCACGTCTTAAGTGGTGTTGATCCGGACGTCTCTGGAGCAGCCTTGGCGTGGGATGCGTGGATCTAAGTGGAGATTCCGTCAACCTTTATGGCTGGAAGGGGTGACTGGTCAGGAGAACAATGTAGGGTTCTTTCCACCGAGGCTTTAGTCCTTGAGTGCGATGCCGTCTAACGTAGACAGAGTTTCCCACCTGGAAGGGGTGACTGGTCTGTGGATGTCTGGGTTTGTACAGTTCTGCCAAGGGGGCCCAGATTTGGGCCTGTACTGCTTGGAGTCCTTTTAGCCGGGCCTGTAGGTTAGTCTTAGGATCGGAGGGGGAGAAGGAATTAAGCAAGGTTGACAAAGGGGGAGGTTCTCCGTAGAGGATTTCATATGGAGTGAGCCCAAAACGGTTAGGTGTATTTCGGGCCCTTAACAGAGCTAAGGATAGGAGGCGTCTCCAATCTTTTAAACCAGTCTCTAAGGTCAATTTAATAAGGGTCTCTTTTATTGTTTTATTTATTTTTTTTACTTGTCCTGAGCTCTGGGGTCTATAGGCACAATGTAATTTCTAATTAATCCCCAATATCCTGGCGAGCCCCTGACTTACCTGAGAAACGAAGGCCGGCCCATTATCTGACCCAATTACCTTGGGAAGTCCGAATCTAGGAAAGATTTCTTTCAAAATTTTCTTGGCTACTATGTGTGCCGTTTCTTGCCGGGTGGGGTAGGCTTCTACCCATCCTGAAAAGGTATCTACAAATACCAGTCAGTACTTATATCCAGCATAGTGAGGTTTTACTTCAGTGAAGTCTATTTCCCAATAGACTCCTGGGCGGTTATCACGAGTTCGTTTCCTTTCTGGCACTCGGGTAGCCCCAGCGTTTACCTGCTGACAGACCTTACAGGCAGATGTCACTTGTTCTACGAGGGTACTTGTCTTTGGGATTAGAAAGTCAGTTTTTTTAATCAGTAATTTTAGCTTTCAATTATTTAAGTGTGTCCAGGCATGCATCTGCTGGATCATTGCCAGGGCCTCCTTGGTCAGCATTGGGGGTTCGTCAGTGCTGCCAGCAGTTATGCCCCCGGGATTTTTTTCTTGGCCCAGCCGTGGGGGCTGAGCCTCTTTAGGGACCCCTTCTGGGGGTCCGGCAGGTGACACAGGGCGGCTGGGCTGGGGGCTGCCCTCAGGACTGGGCTCTGTGCCTTTTTGCAGGGAACTTTCCGAATGGAAACTCTGGTTGCTGTTCTCATCATTGAGATCCAGCAGGATGAGAGGGCCACCCCCTCGGGGACTGGCGCCCCTGCCCCGACGTTCCCGGCCACGGGATCTCTTTGCCCCGCCACCTGCCCGCCTTCGTTCCTCCTCCTGGGGGTCCACCACTGGCACTTACTTGAAGATACGAAGGGAAGTGTCGCCTACAGTCACTCATTGCTTCTTCCATTTTTGGACCTTCTTGATGGTCGCCATTACCTTCTTGATGTTATCTTCGGCCCGGCTCCGGGTCTTGGCCCGTACGGTCCGGCCGGCCATGCTGGCGTGGCTGGGGCCGGAGCCGAGCCCGCGGCGGGGCCGCCTCCCGTCTGGCGGGCTCAGGCTTGGCGCCAGGCCCGGGCGCCGCGCTCTCGGCCTGCCGTTCCTCCGGGAGTTGGCCGCGCCCTCTTTTGTCCTTAACGCCTCCGCGAGTCCCCTGTTCTTTGCAGTAGGCACACTGGTCTTTTTCCACTTTTGGCCGTCTCCGCTTCTTTCCCTCTCTCCCTGGTCCTTTCTTTCTCACAACTGCTGCCAGGATTTTTGTTAAATGCTTATCCTTTACTCGGTTTTTACGATCCTCTCGCTCTATCTGTTTCTTCGCTAACCTGACTTCCCTTTCCTTAGGGGTTTCTTTCTTATCTTGGCCAAATTTGTGGGGCGTTTTCCTGCCCCTTTGAGACCCGCCAACAGAGCCTGGCGATAGATTTGGAGACTCTCCCTACCTGGTGCCGTTTCATAGTCCTAGTCCGGGCGGGTGAGGGGAAATCCCTCGTCTATTTTATTGGGAAGTTGGGTTGGGAGGCCTCCTGGTCCTGGCACATTTTTCTGGGCCTCCAAGAGGACTTGCTGCCTTTTTCAGTGGTTAAGAGGACCTGCAGGAGTTGCTGGCAATTATCCTAGGTGGGCTGGTGGGTGAGGAGAATGGATTCTATTAACGAGGTTAGGGCCTGAGAGTCTTGGGAAAAGGAAGGGTTATGGGTCTTCCAGTTATAGAGGTCAGAGGCAGAGAAGGGCCAGTACTGGACTGTGTGACTGACAGTACGGAGGGGAAAAAGGGAGGATTGCTAAGTGGAAGGGCCTTCTGGGTCCTCAGTCCGCCGCGAGCGGAGACGAGGAGGTGTCAGCGGCGGCGTCCGAGGGGTGAGTTTGGGCGGGGCTGGAGGAGGAGACGGGGTGGAGGGAGGGGCCGAGGGAGAAGTTGGAGAAAGGGTAGGGGTCGAGGCGGTAGAGGAAAGAGCTGGGGACAAGACAGGGGGCAAGGGTGAAGCGTAAGGTGGAGGTCCCCGAAGGGGGTTTTGAGGTGGAGGAGGCAGGGGTTCGAGAAGGAGGAGGTCCCTCTGGGGTTTATCTGGGAGGACTGGCTTATGCGGGTCCAGATTCCGATTCTTTGGGGCTTCTAAGGCAAGGAGGGTAGATTGGGATGGGGAAGGGGAATGGAGGAAGGGTTTCACCCAAGAGGGAGGGTTTCGGACCAGATCCTCCCAAGTAATTATGTAGGCCACCTGGTCTGGGTGTCCGTGTGGCCCAGGATCCATCACTGTTGCTTTAACCTGTAAGATAATTGGGAGGTTAAATGTTTCGTCCCGGGGCCACCCAACATGGAGGGTAGGCCACTTGGACGAGCAGAATTTTCGCCATCGTCCCTTACGGAATTCTATGGAGAGGTTGTGGGCTCGAGCCCGAATGTCAGGGAAGTGAGTCAGGGTCAGAGACAAAGGAGTCGTCAACGTCTGTCTTATTTCGTCCACGTATAACAAACAAGAACAAAACAAAAGTAACAAAAACAAAGACCAGACAAGTAAGGAGAAGCCGCGCGGCCAGAGAGTAGCGCCACAAGATTACAAAATATTCAGACGGCAGGGGCGGCCTGCCTACAGATTTGAGGAGGCTGACCGAGTCATTAGCCTTCTCCCAGACTACCGCCAGGGCGTCCCCCAGGGCGAAAAGTGGGAAGGTGCGGGACACGTCTGTCCCCCTTCCCCACTTAATTCAGAAGGAGTACTCTCCAGAGTTCAGAGTTAGCCGGCAAGACAGACAGAACAAAACGAAGGTACCTGGTAGGTCCGTTCAGTCAGCAGTCCGTGGCCCGGGCCAGATGGGTCTCCGCCGGATGGGTCGGGGGTCCTCGGACGACCCCACTTCCCGGCCAATGCACCAAATGTTGGAACCGAACTGTCGATTCCTTCCTGGGCAGGGGTCGCCGCGAAGGATCACCGACACGAGATTCACAGCAGAGAGTTATTTATTACTAGCGCGCTAGGGTCCCAAGTTCTAAGTTGGCCCTGGGACCCCGACTGCTTGTTACAGGCTGTTTATATAAGCAAATACAAGTTCAAACACAGCTTAGGGCGCGAAATTCAAACAAAGCTTTAGGCGCGTGGTAATTGGGTCTGTCTATGGCCTGAGCAAGTTGTCTTATGCTAATTGGTTAGAGCAGGACCTTATGAGGTTTTTTCTTGGAGTTGCTGATTCCGGGAACTTCGAGGCAGGGTGGGACCCCCGGAATTGGCAGGGTGGGACCCCATGAGGTTGTTTCCCGGAATTGGCAGGGTGGGACCCTATCAGGGTGGGACCTTATTGAGGCAGGGTGGGACCCTATCCAGAGCCACCTGGTGTTAATTTTTTCTATATGAGGCCTGTTTTCTAAATTTTATGAGGCCTAGTTTCACTACCACTGGGTATCCAAAGGCTACACGGGGTAAATTTGGAATCCATTTTTCATTTTCCTTACTGGTTGTTCTGCACTGGTTAATAACTATAACTTTGCCTCTCACCCCCATCTGGGGTACAGGAGAAAGTGATCAAAGGATCACATTTTAAAAATGGGTTTTATTTAAATGACTGGTCTTCTCTTTTTATTCCTATTGTTTGAAAATAGTTGAGTTCCTTTTTTCTGATTACCATGCTACAGATGTTTATCGTAGAAAGTTTGGAAAAAACAGAAAAGCATAAAGAATGTAAAAATCACCCGTAGTTCCACCACACAGACAGCAGTAATATTAAGGTGGTATTGTATTTACATCTAAAATTTCATCCCCACACCCATACACAATCCACTAATTACCCCAGTTCTCATCAGCCTATGGTTGCTACTAAAACCACTTTAGGGAGAAGCCCTTCTTTTCTTCTCTTCATACTCTGTCCTCTCTTTGGAGGGACACATTGCCAAGGCTTAAGGAAGGTGGTGACCAGTGCATCCTGATTTGCTAGGGACTTTCTGATTTTAGCATGAAAACCCCTACATCTTGAGAACACCTCAGTTCTAGGTGAACTGGGATGGCAGGTTTACCTCTATCTCTTCCTCCCAACCCATCAGCAGAAAGCAAGACTGATTCGGTCCTGGAGAGCTGGTGGGAGGCTGGTACTTGGTGGCCATGTTGCTCTGTTGAGCAAGGTTAATGTGCTAAGGTCACTGCTCATTCATCTCAGGGCTCTTGCTTCCTGTTGGATCTGTGCCCAGGCACAGTGAGCCTCATGAGCACACGATTCCCTGTCTGCCTTAGCAGCACCTAAAGCAAAAAGACAAAGCAGTGGATTGGCTAATAAGTTAGTCCTGCTATGCTTGTCCATCTACCTTCCATTCAGAGCAGGGGAGGGAGACAGTTTACTAGAAAACCATGACCTTGAGAGTGGTAGAATCCTTGCTGATATTGAGACAATAAATTCTCTGGTCCCCATTTGGCTCATTGTGCCCGTTGCCAACTGATTACAACCTGGAGGCAAGGGGAATGGGTATTTGTAGTCCCATCTCCAACACGCAAGTGCCTTGATGTGCAGATCCCTTTAAATCAATGAGAAAACTAAGGGTTTTTGATACGGATGCTAGGTTGGCTTCTAGTGTAATGTAGCTTATTGTAGTATTATCAGACATGAACTGAGTGTTTTGTATGTTGTGAATTGAAACATGAGAGAAATTTTTCTTTGCTGGGGAGATTCATTAGAAAATCAGTGAATTTGGGTAGTAATGGCTTGTGATTCTTGCAACAAGTTGGTAGATTTCCTAAGGACAGGGTGTGACTTGAGTTGGTGGCTCTGGCTCAGTGAAGGCTGAATCAAGGTCAAAGATGAAGCCTCTCACTGGAACCAGCTTTGGCAGTCATGGAGCAGGCGTGCTAGTGTACTGTCTTCCCTCTGCTCGCTTTTGCCTCTGTAGCTCCACCATCCTCCCTTTTCCCACACTTTAACTAGACACCTGGCACCAGCCCTTGAGGAACTCTTGAAGCCCTAACCATGCTTCCCATCAAAACTGACTGTCCTGAGGTCCTTTAAGGGGGTGGTAGAAGCAGCAATGATGAATCGAGCCTGACTATCTGGGTGAATTTAGTGTCTTGGCAGCTCCTTCTGCCTATGCCCAAGGTCCCCACCCTCCTCTACGAGCCTGGCGCTGATACTCTCTGAGTAGGAGTTTGCTGCGTTCTGACTCCCACCTTTACTTTGTCTCTTCTTCCTCTTTCTGATCTTCCCACGTTCCATCCTGTCCCCTTCTCTGCCTGGGAACTTCAGAGTCAAGGTCGAGTTTGATGGTCTTCCTGACTGGTTTTCATCTCTACCCAAATTTCTGAGTTTTTTTTTTTTAAACTACCCCACATCTCTTGATTCCTCCCTAGTCTTCAAGCATTCAAGCATTCTAAACCACCAAGGCCAACAGCACCTGATAAACCAGCAGAAGCCCATCTCTGGCAGCCCTACCAGCCGGCCCATACTCAGAGCAGAGAGCAAGGAATTTGCTTGGTTCCCAAGACAACCATCTCAGATCCAGAGGGGGAAGCTGTTCAGAGACAGAGCAATAGGTTTCTCAACTGATTCCTTTCACTGGGGTTCTTGTGGGTTAAGAGATGGGCCCCAAAGGGAGGGAAGATAGGGAGCCAGCATGTTACATCACACAATAACTGGAATTTGTTCTGTCTCTGTACAACACAGAAAGTAGTTTCACAGCCACAATCTCTATGCTCACACCAAAGGCCTATGGGAGGGACAGCCATGGGCAGGAGGCTGATGAAGGCAAAAGAGCATCAGCTGTGAAGCCTAGCTGCTCAGGGTTCGAATTCTGACCTGGTAAGTCACTAGCAGAGTAACCTTAGCCAGCTACTAAACCTCTCATCTAAATTGGGGAAAATGCCTTTCTCACAGGGTTAGGAAGATTAAATTATATAGCGCATTAATATACTCATCAGGGAATGTGGCCTATTAAATAATAGCTGTTACTACTATGTCTTTTTTTTTTTTTTTTAAGTGTATCGTGGGATCAGAATATTGACAGAGCTGTATCAGTCAAGAACAGTATTCCCCCTTGCTAAAACTAATAGGCAGCCCAAACCTGGCTCCATCTAACCACCTCTTCCAATACTCTTTAACTGGTGGTGCTTTATGACACCAAGCAATGGATGATGATTATTGTTTCCACGAATAGAGTAAGTTCCTTGATTGGTTTAACATATATAGACAGCCTGAGAGAATAAAAACATCACCATACAATAGATTAATGGTAAATCAAGGTCTTCGTAGTTGCGGCAGGAGAAAAGGGTTGGCTGCTGGAAACAGTATGGTGCCCTGGAGGTTGCCTACGGGAAACAGTATGGTGCCCTGGAGGCTGCGTATGTACACACTTAGGAATTAACATCACCTTTAGCAGAAGATTAGAATTCAATGGATATGAACGCTTATGCAGAATCTTCTTGCCTCCTGAAATAAATTTCACAGGGAATCTCCTCCGTTACTCAGTCTTCCAGCGGCTGTTCAGGGCACTTGTGTCCCTGTTCGAAAGTGTAACTACTTTTCTTGAAGGTGCTATTGAACGTTTTCATTGGCTGTGGTTGTGCAAAGTCATTTCGGAAAGGAAGTTCCATGGAACTGAGGTTGGTCCTGCTTTGTTTGATGCCGGAGGTCAGAAACCCCCAGTGGTGGTCATGGATGCACTGGGAGGTGGTGGAGGAGTGCCACGTCTTCTGGTAGTTGTTCAGTTCTTCTGACAAGTCTGTCAGATTTGCAGAAATGTCTTTGTCCCTTAGCGAAAACAGTTCATAATGAAGAGGATCAAACATTTCTTGGAACCCGATTTTATGAAAAGCAGTTTCGTAAGCCATGACGTTCTTTTGAGACTGTTTCACTTGTACTAAAACAGCAATAATGAGAAGGACTAAGACAATCTCTGAAGTAATGCCAATAATTGTCCCATGAGTTTCAGTGTTTTGTTCAAATAGTCCTGCCTTTTCTCTTTTCTTTACAATGGTTTTCATCCCAAGGATATGCACAATTTTGGACACCATTACAGACTAAAGGATCATTGATGCACATGTTGCTATGTCAAAAGACAATGCTGCCTGTGCAGGGAGCTGATGATCCAGCAATTTTACTTTTATCTCTATACTCCACAGAATGGAAAGCAGGAACTCAGTTACTTGCACACCAAAGTTCACAGCAGCATTACGCACAATAGCCAGAAGGTGGAAACAGACAAAATGCCTATCGATGGGTGGGTGGATAAACAGTATGTGTTACGCTCAATGAAGGAAGCAAAGAGCATTTGAAACCTGCTAAGCCAACGACCTTGATCTGCCCACACTTGTATCACTCCTATTCCTGTTTTAAGCATTCCGTCACTGGCCACAGTGCTGCAAAACTTGGCCTTCAGGTTTTCAATATAACTGGTTTCATCATAGACTGCAACAAAGTTTCTCTTGCATTTATTTGAGCACTCCATTTGATAATCTAGGAACCTCAAATCCTAGCTTTTGGAGTGGCTTTCATGGTCCAGATGCAATCAATGACTTGGCCAGGTTTTATTTTCTCTTCTTGTTCTACCTGACTAGAGTGCACTATTCCGTCTGCTCTCGAGAGCTCAAACCCACAATCTGCTAGGTAAGTAAAGTCTGGATCTAGAATAAATGAACATTAGTTCTTTTCATCAGAACTAAACTTAATCCACATGAATCTCCCTGTTGATCTGATTAATGGAGGGCTTTTCATGCTGCAATAACGATCTATAAGGGGAGAGAAACCAAATGACCCATCTGGAACTTCCAAGTGATCAAACCGACACTCAAATGATGGCTCTATATAATAATAATGTTCATCAAAACTCAATTCTTTCACATGGAGCA